CAAGTGATTCTCCTGCCTCAGCCTCCCTAGTAGCTGGGATTACAGGCACCCACCACCACACCTGGCTAAGTTTTGTATTTTTAGTAGAGACTGGGTTTTGCCATGTTGGCCAGGCTGGTCTCGAACTCCTGACCTCAGGTGATCCACCTGCCTCGGCCTCCCAAAGTGCTGGGATTACAGGTGTGAGCCACAAGAAAAAGATTTTTAAAAAGATAAACTGGACTTCATCAAAATTGAACACTTGTGTAACAAAGACACTATCAAAAGAGTAAAAAACCCTGATGTAATGGGAGAAAATGCTTGCAAATTACGTATATGATAAGGGAGTAGTATTCAGAATATATAAAGAACTCTTAGAATTCAACAAGAAAAAAACTGAACAGCCCACTTCAGAAATGGGCAAGGGACTTGAAATGTCTGTTTTGCTCAAGTTGATACACGAATGGCCAATAAGCCATTAAAGGATGTTCAGCGTCACTAGTTGCACATTAAAACCACAGTGAGATCCACTCACATCCACTGGGATGGCTGTAATCAAACAGCCAAGAGGTAAAGAGAATTACGGTCGATGCGGCCGTTCCGCCCCAGGGACAGCTCCAGGGATGCGAGTGGACATCTGCGGATCCACATTCACAGCAGGAATTCTCACAACAGTCCAAAGCTGGAAACAATGGCAATGTCCATTAATACCCAAATGAATCCTCAAAGTGTGGTCCATCCGTGCCATGGAATATTAGTCAGTCATAAAAAGGAAGTTAGTGCTGACACACACCACAACACAGGCCAACCTTGAAGGCATTATGCAAAGTGACATACACCAGTCACAGAAGCACAGACGTCGCATCACTCCACTTAGATGAGGTGCGCAGTATAGTCAGATTCATGGAAACAAAGAACGGAAATGATCCCTCCCCACAGGTGAGGAGATGTGTATCCACACACACAACAGTACCCAGGTCCAGTCGCTGAGTCTGAGAGCTGGGGCTGGATCTACACCTGTGTGGACACCCCACCATCCACTCACATTCACGCCGTGAGGTTACTTAGGAACGTACTCCTAACTAGCTGAAGTTTAAAGCTCACTCCAGCATGGGCTCGCAAGCCGTGGGGATTCATGCTGGAACACAAAATTCCCAGTCTGCGGCTCCTGCCAGACAAAAGAAATGAGTCCCCCCAGACACACTCTGCATCTTGTCAACAATCACAGCCGCGGGGGGGCCATATGGCATCTGCTTGGCACAGCCTCCATGGCACCTGGGGCCCCAGAGGCACCCCCTTCCGGCCCAGGCGCAGACCCTGGTGGGAATGCTGTGGCAGCTCGGCCACACTTCTCGGCCACTGCATTTCTGTGCTGGGGAGTGAAGCCTGACTCCGCGTAGCATAGGCTCAGCCGACCTGATCTCTGGGGAGCCCCCCCAGTGCTGGTTGCTCCTTGTCCCTTTAAAAAATTTTGGGGGATGTAATCCCAGCACTTTGGGAGGCCGAGACGCGCAGATCACAAGGTCAGGAGATCGACACCATCCTGGCTAACACGGTGAAACCCCGTCTCTACTAAAAAATACAAAAAAACTAGCCGGGCGAGGTGGCGGGCGCCTGCAGTCCCAGCTACTCGGGAGGCTGAGGCAGGAGAATGGCGTAAACCCGGGAGGCGGAGCTTGCAGTGAGCCGAGATCCGACCACTGCACTCCAGCCTGGGTGACAGAGCGAGACTCCGTCTCAAAAAAAAAATTGTGGGGGAGTAGAAAAATACCCTCAGTAAGTGAGGTCACTGACAAAAATGTAAATGTAAAAAGCACAACCTTAGACAATATCTTGCTTGAAAAAAACATTTTTTGCTACATGTGAGCAAAGCCCTTCAATGAGAGAGGAATAGGCTACCTAAAAACAGATTCCGGTGCACTTATCTAGTATCGATGAGTTAGAAACGTATCTGCTGCAACAGAAATGCCATGTGCAAGTGCTTCACAGATTGGTGCCTACTTTCCCTCCACACAACCCTTTGCAGAACATGAGCCTGTTGACTTTCATTCCAAACTGCATCATTGTCTACTTGCTGCTAAACTAGACAGTGGAGAAAGAACTTCAACTATTCCAAGTTTGCTTTTAAAGGCCTTTAAACTAGGCCCAAAGGCCTTAATCGCTGACAGGCCGTGTGGACAAGTGCTGCTCTGCTGTCTGCGGCCACAGCTGGTGGAGCTGAAAGCACGCAGGCCCTGCACGCAGGACTGGAGGACCCTAACGTCAGTGCTGGCACTGCCCAGGAAGCTTAGGAAGGGCGTTCTCCAGTCTTCTGCAACGCATTCCTTTACAGAAAGGAAAATGGGAAGAAAGGTTTCACGTCCAGGGCTCTGGGCCTTTGATCATTTGAGAAACGCTGGGTCTGCAACAGGGGCCTCCGGCTTCTCAGGCCAGACAAAGACGCCCGGCCACACGGGCAGGGCCTAGCCTGCACCAGAACAAAACCCCGGCGCCTCTCAGTGTGGAGGCCTGGGAAAGGCCCACCTCAGCCGGCAGAGGGGCCGCCTGCCCTTTGATCTCTCCTGAGACCATGGCCTGGGCCCCGGGTCAGGGAATTTCACACCGCACACACCCCAGGGAAAGAGGAGCAGGTCAAGAACAGGAGGGGGGTCACCAATCTCAGCAAAGGCCCCAAGCCGGCCCTCTCTGGCCAGTTCCACATGGCTGCATGTGTATTGTCCAAAGCTGAGCCCATCTCAAAGTGGAACTGACATTACATGCCACAATGGAGCCAGTGAACAGTGGCTCAGGTGCCTGGACAATATGCCAGCCCTGCCCGCCGCATCGGGGTCTCGAGGCCGGGACACACTTCTCCATGTTTCCTTCTCTGTGGAGTGAACCTGAGCCACTCAGAACCCAGGCTCCATCCCATCCTTGTGAAGATGCGCACTGGGGCCACCTGCATCCAGCCGCCTGCCTGTGCTTCTGGTACCTGGATGGGCAGGTTCCATTGGAAACACAGGTGCCCCCAGCAGCTCATCACGTCACATGTTCACAAACACAGGCTTGGTCAGAAACACATCAAATGATCTGTAACGTTCTGAAGATATTTTGGTTTAAGAGAAGGAAAATCTTTATGTGTGAGAGAAAGAAGGGAGGGCCCGTGATAAGGGGAGAAATACAAATTCCACGGATAGCTCTGAGCTCCAATAGCTGTAAATTTGGAAAGAAAAAGAAATATTTGATAAGATACAGCAGCATTAATGGACAAGGAAAAATGGACGTTTAAATGACAAAAAGGATTGTGTCATGTCCAAAACAAACAAACAAAAAAGGATTAAAAGTATTACCAGAGTGTTTGCATTTTGTTTTTGTTTGCCCATTCCCACCACTAAATGAATCTTGGGTGTTTAAAATGATATTTGGTGGCACAAAAACTGATTTCATTTCTCCCCAGCAGCCAGTAAAGGATGCTGGTGGTGTCGGGTGGGTGTGGGGTGTGGGGCTGGGCTGCAGCCCTCCCCTCTCCTGCAGGACGCTGGAGAACTCGCCCAGGCTCTCCAGTCCTTCTGCATAAAGTCATGGCTGTTGTTTTATCTTCACGCATTTATGTCTTTTTTTCTGTTAACCAGAAGAAACTGAAGTAAGGAAAACGCTTATTTTAAAGTTGCTGGCATTCATGGAAGTGCATAGAAACTGGTTTCTATGATCGATGCCTGCTCCTGTCACTGGGCCAGTGACGAAGAACGGGATGTTCTGGAAGGTGGAGGTCTCCATATGAACACATATATGTGCGTGTGTGTTGAGACGAAGGGAATTGTTGATTCACGCTGGGAAAGAGACTGTGGGGTGCTGCCATCTCAGCGCCTCCCACCTTCCATGGGACGCTAATGGGTATCGCAAGGCTGATGCAGACTCTTCTCAAGTAAGTGTCAGAGGCGCTGAGTCAGGGGAAGCCGGACACATCTCTCTGCCCCGGACTCCTCAGGGCCTCTCCCTGCGCACCTGCCCTGTGATGCTCAAGGAGCAGACTCAGTGCGCGCCTCCTCCCGAGCTCACCCGTCTGGGGAGCCCTCTCTCTGGCCCCGATTCAAAGAGACGACCTCAGAGGTTGGGTGTTCTGGAGACCACCTTTTGAGAAATGCCAGAGCTCAATCCCCATGCTTTTGTAGCAGAAAACTGGATCCCAGAGAGGTTAAAAGCTCTGTCCAAAGTGATAAACCTCATTGCTGGCAGAGCCGGACCCGTGTGCAGATCCGCTCTCCCACGCTGCTGCTGGACCCGGCCTCGCACCCCGTGCCTAACGTCTGAGACACCCCACGCCGTCTGCGCATGCTCCCGCTCTGCCAAACCTGTCCCCCACCCACCACGGGCCTCAGTCTGAGACACCCCACGCCGTCTGCGCATGCTCCCGCTCTGCCAAACCTGTCCCCCACCCACCACGGGCCTCAGTCTGAGACACCCCACGCCGTCTGCGCATGCTCCCGCTCTGCCAAACCTGTCCCCCCCCCACGGGCCTCGTCTGAGACTCCCCATGCCCTCTCCGAGAGGAAAGCCTCCCATAGCACACACAGAGATTCCCTAGATAAGAAGGACATTCACAAAAAGGGCTGAAAGGCTTATTTGAGATGGGGTGATTGACATTTGATGGCAATTACTAACGGATATTTTTAGTGTGACTCTACTGCAAATACCGTTTTAACAACAGTGAAGTTACATCGAATACTGGAGCGACGTTCTGCACCGCAAGGACACTGAAGGGCCCGAGGGTGGTTTCTCCGCGGCTGTGAGGTTAACGCTGCAGCGTGTGCGGCAAACACCTGTCAAGGACCCACCGTGTGCTCGGCACACAGAGGCAGGTAACGAAGGACCAGTCTCAGAAGCAAATGTGCTCGCTGCAAACCACCTTCCTATGGCCCAGCAGAGGGACAACAATCAGCGATTTTTTTTCCGGGGCCTCCGGTGAACACTGCACCCTACGTTGCCATAGCAACGCCATCCCAGCTCTGAGCCACAACAAAACCGCAGTGTCTGCGTCTCACCTTTGGCCATCTTGTTGAGAACCATGTCGATCAGGACGTAGGTGCCGCTCCGGCCTGCACCGTCACTGCCAACAGAAGGAGAGAAATGACAGTTGCCGTCCACACGGAAGCCTGACCCACCGCACAGCTAGTGACAGTCCATTTCCTTCACGCTTAAGTGGGGCCGGCGAGAGGAAAGAAGGATGGCGGATGAGAGCGGGGGAGGAAGGACGCGGGCTGGGAGAATCCAAGTGAGGGCGAAGGGAGGCCGCTGGGGGCTTCCAGCCTCTGAGCAGCTTGTGGCACGAGCTGCTGTGCTCAGGTCTGTTTCCCTCTTGCTTGTTCCCACCTCTTTGGCCAAAGACGTGGAACATTTTGCCAGAACAAAATGAACTAAGTGTTGGACTGTGTCAGAGTTGATGGCATTTGTATAGAAGATATCTGCAAGGTGCTTTCTCTAGGGTTGCCGGGCAACCTCCCGAGGAGAGGGGAGGGTGCTGGGCGGCTGGACTCCACTGGCTCACGCAGGCAGGGACACTTTGGGCACATCCCCCTAGGCTGCCTGCCGCCCTTTCTAAACGCAGGTCCTCCCTCTCAGAAGGAGAAATTGACATAACAGTCGTTACTCAATCATATTCTTTAAAAAGCACTCTCATTTCATCTCTTTCTCATCCCACCAGCTATAATTGGAATATTTACCATCTGGGCTAGAGTTGTAAAAATGTTTTGAATAATACCTCAACAGTAGCAAAGGAAAAAAAAATCCCTTTTTTTTCTGGAAGAAGAGTAGCCTCAGCACCATCCTTTCCTCAGGAGGAATGTGTGAAGCCATTTCCTCCCCCCGTGCAGACACTGTCACCGGGTTGCACGAGTTTGAGAGGCCTACTTAAAAGTACATAGGGCTTGGGCTCACACCCACAACTGGCTTTTAAATGGAGGACCTTTTACGTTTACAATCCTAGCAAAGTCAATTGTGACTTTCTGGAAAAAGAATAAATGTTTCCCTCTCAAGACTTCAAGAAAGACGTGACTACCCAGCAGATAACACGCTTTCCGTTCTGCTTTCTATGCTGTCTATAATCCCAAGAAATGATGGAACCCTAGAGGTGAGTTTTTGATCATAAAGAATCAGTACATTTTGGCTTTAACCTGTTTCCTCAAACAAATGGTTGAAAAATGCTGTAGTTGGGACGGTAAATGTTTCAAAAACGTGTCGTTCACATCCTCACACCCTCACTGCATCACCAAGGAGGAGAAGCGGTTGGCCTGGGCCACATGTAACCCTCACTGCTCATTTCAAAGGGCCGCGGCGAGCATTGTGGTTGCTGAGTGCGTTTCTCACTTGTCTTCTATGCACAGCATATATTCACATGAATATTTTAAGATCTACTACAAAAATCTTCCAACTAAGTGTAGCTTGTCTTGATACATTTGTGGGTAAAAGATGTTCTACTCTACTCTTTGAGGACAACAGACCATAATCTATTTTCATCCTCCTCTCTCATAGACAGGAATGCGCACACAAAACACACATGCCTCTTGATTGGATTTGACAGATTTGGTGTTTGTTCTTTGGAGACAGATTTCCTTTTTATTCCAGGCAGGAGGAACATTCTATAAGACACTTCTAGAAAAATGGAATATGAGTTCTTCACCAAAAGTAGTTGGGTATCAAGTCCAGCAGAGACAGTACTATTAGGTTGAGTTTTCTTTGCATAAAATCTATTCTTAATGGTGTGGTTTTAACATACTTAAGGATACGAGTCACTGAATTTTTACCAAGAGGCCTGAACCCACATGATAAACTGGAGGTGGCTGTACCTCCTGTAATGACAGATTTCGTCCCTGTTAGTAACTGGTCCCCAGCATTTCTCACCATCTGCAGAGGGTTCTGAGCCTCTGCTGAACATCCTGGTGGCTGAGACAATGCAACAGGCTGAAAACATTGTCTCGATGTTTCTGTGTCATGGCACCACAGGGTTTAAGAACAGGTAAGGTGGCAGGATATGCTCATGGGTGAGTAGAAGGCAAGACACTGCACCGTGAGCTGCTAGAAAATGTGCTATGTGAGGCCAGGCGCGGTGGCTCATGCCTGTAATCCCAGCACTTTGGGAGGCTGAGGTGGGCAGATCATTCGAGGTCAGGAGTTCAAGAGCAGCCTGATCAAATGGTGAAACCTCCTCTCTACTAAAAATACAAAAAGATTAGCCAGGCGTGGTGGCGGGTGCCTGTAATCCCAGCTACTCGGGAGGCTGAGGCAGGAGAATCGCTTGATCCCAGGAGGTGGAGGTTGCAGTGAGCCCAAGATCATGCCATTGCACTGCAGCCTGGGCGATAGAGTTTAAAAAAAAAAAAAAAAGGAAGCCATGTGCATTTTAGCAAAAAAAAAGCAAGCCATTATATAGACATAATACAAGCAACGCCCAATTGTATTTACCCAAATGGCATAGAAAAGTAAGTTTATATGTTTGGTTTCCTTTAGAAGTGCCAGTTAGTTATAGTTATTAAGCAATTAGAAAGTTAAGCTTCTCGCATAGATTATTTTTTGAGGTAGCCAAAACTTCTTAATTCATTAAAAGTTGTACTTGCCTGCAATGAACAATTATTGGACAAGAACGGCCCCTGTAGCACTTGTTTACTTTTCTGAAATAAAAAGAGAGATAAAAATTTTAGTTGTGTACTAAGACTTTGCGTTAATCCAAAACAACTATTAAAATAAAGCCCAAGGTCTGTGTGTTTGAAATCATTTTGCAATCGCTTGTTTTGACAGAGAAAATGAAAATTATACACATAATATCAAACATTTATTCTTCTTCTCAACATGACGTTATTAATCGGAGCTTTAAAACCAATGTTACCCCTTTACACCGCTTTCTCCTTTCAAGGAGGGGTGCCAGGCTTTGAACCAGTGGACTCCTGGCCCGTCCCGCCCGCCCCACCCCTGCAGGCTCTCCTCTTTCTGTTTCTGCTTATGTTGTCTTGACCTTTCATTACACTACATCTTGATTCTTCACTAAAATTTTTGAATTTTGCAATTTATGCTCAACATTTCTTACAGTCCAGACATCATATTGGAAACTGTTATTTCTGTACTATCTAAAAACAGCATCTTCAAGGGCATCTGTGACCTGTCAGCTTTTGGTAGGGATATCTAAATTACGGAGAAACCTCCATGAAGCCCAAGACAAGTCCTTTCCATGTTTACAACTTCGAGTAGACAAACAACTTCATTGTGCAGAGTTTAGATCAGAAGTTGTGAAAATTAGAAATGAGCATACATTTAAGATTTCATAACCAACCCCTAAATCAAAACAGAGGGCTGATTTAAGATTCACTCTGTAAACTCCAGGTCTTTTTTTACATTAAGTGAAACAACTAAACCTGTTTATGTAGTCCATTAAAGTTGTCAGTGAACTATTTCTGAATAAGTAAAATTAAAGACAGAATCTCAGGTTATTGGAATAAAGCATGTGTGAAAGGGATGTGTTCTAAAATGTGCTGTGTGAACTCCTACAAGAAACAAATGTAAAAAAATGGAAGTATGGACCGTAAATGGGAAAATGTCACGTTTCTTTGCAAAGGCTTGCCTATTCAGCACCAAATAGTCAGTGGAAAGTAAACATTCCATCAACTGGTTGCTTTTCTACAAACCTTTGAAGCCAGAAGGGGCAGGGTGGCCGTGGAGGGAGAGGGGAGGTGAGTGTCCAGTGAGCAATGAGTGGAGGGATGCTTGAATACGGCGGAACCCAAACCACAGAGCTTTCTCCTTCTCTCTTCCTATTCCCCTAGGAGTTATCAGAACAAGGCCCTTCTGACGGGAGTGTGAACGCCCAGTCTGGAGGGCACAACAGGAGTTAAAGGAGCAGCTATGGGGCCTGGACTCAGGATGCCCACCTGCAGATGGGCCGCGGCCACAGCCTAGCCAGGAGGCACTTGATCTGTGCTGCCCTCTGGTCTGTGAAACACGAGGCTGATGCCTGAAAATGGGGCGGGCTCAGACACAGCACAACCAGCAACGGCCTCCAGGGCTGCATCGCCGTTTCTGTTAGAGGTGTTTGTTGCTTCTGGGGCACACGGTGGTGTGAAGGCTTTGGGGAGAGGCGGGGAACACAACAGTGAACTCCTTAAAGGTAACAGCACTTGTATGCCAGAAGGCCTTGAACATTCTTTTTTTTTTTTTTTTTTTTTTTTTTTTGAGACGGAGTCTCACTCTGTAGCCCAGGCTGGAGTGCAGTGGCCGGATCTCAGCTCACTGCAAGCTCCGCCTCCCGGGTTCATGCCATTCTCCGGCCTCAGCCTCCCAAGTAGCTGGGACTACTTTTTTGTATTTCTTAGTAGAGACGGGGTTTCACCATGTTAGCCAGGATGGTCTCGATCTCCTGACCTCGTGATCCACCCGTCTTGGCCTCCCAAAGTGCTGGGATTATAGGCTTGAGCCACCGTGCCCGGCCAGGCCTTGAACATTCTTGGTCCCTGGAGAATAAACAGGTTGGAAGACAGACCCACCATGTCTACTTCTAAAATGTCCCATTCCTGACTCAGGCTGTGAAGCATCGAGGGCTCCTGATGACGGAATGGATACCAGCCCCCAGGGGTGCACCCCAGCATGGGGGTGGGAAGCCCTCCAGCTCGGTAAAGACCATGTGTGTGCGCATGAGACTGCACGCATGTGCGTGACATGAGCATGCATGTGCACACGTGTGCACATGTAGAATCAAGCAGGCTCAACTGTCAGACCAAATGGTGAGTGGCTTTGCTTTGAAAGGCCTTTTGCCTTTGGCAGAGGAGTTTACTGGCCGTGGCTCAGCCTCTGAATCTTGCAAATGGGAACGACCTCAGTTCTGTTCCTTCAGCTTCCTGCTGTGTTTAATGCCTTGTGGTCCACTCTACGTAGAGACTAAACTCAGCTTCTGGAAGTCCACACCTGTCAGTCACCAGGGGTTGCTCATTTTTTCCTCATGAGACCAAGTACACAAAAAAAGGAACAGTAAAACAAACCAACCCCCAACCCCCAAACCAGGTGCGCTTGAAGAAAGTGTGCTGGTTTGAGGAAAGGCCAGTGTAAGAAGTCAGTAGACAGCGGTGGCTTATGGCCAGCTCCTGCTTTGGCAAAATGCAGTAATAACCCCCCTGGCTGGGAAATGCTCCTAGTGAGTGAATTTGTGGCTATGATGGCCTCGACTTGCTTCCCCACTCCTGAAACTCCTGTGTCTATCTCACGGTGTACGTAAGATACCATTTTCTCTGATATGTTGTGCCTGGTGGCCTTGGGAAGGTTTCGCTGTAATTTTCATATCCGTACCAGCCTCCACCTTGTGCTCAACCTTTTTACAAAAACCCGCAGGCAGTCAAGGACATGTGCAGTGTAGATACAGGGTGTGGCACAGCTGAGGACTTTATTTACAAAGATCTGCAGTTGTATTGTTACACGCAAAGCATCACAAATAGAGAGGCAAAACCACGACATATTGAACACAAGAGTTCATCCAGTTGACCCAAGCTGTAGACCATGGATTATTCAGGAAGGTGACACAGCTGCCTCATTTGACTCCATCAGAACAAAGCATCAGTGAGCAAAAGGTCTCCCACAGTAAGAAAAGTTGATATTATAGAAACTTCCGCAACAGGAATTCACTGAGAAAGAACGATTAGTGATACAAACCAACCCCCGGGTCACCGGGCGAGAGTGCACCGTCATGCAAAGCACCAGCAAGCAAGGTCAGAGGTCGTTAGAGTCTCAGAAAGGGGCTTCCCACATCGCCCCCTGCAGGACAGTCACAGTTTCCAATGATCACTTTTGTGACTATGCAACTGGGCTCATATTACTAGCTGCAACATCACAAAAATGACACTGGCCACCGCTAATTAGCTGGCAAGGTAAGGGTTTGTCCATTTTACCGTGAGCAGCGTTAGTGAGCGCCATTGCACACAGCAAGAAGGGAGAGAGTAATACGAGAGAGAGAGAGAGAGAGAGAGAGAGAGAAAGAGAGACAGAGAAGTTTTTAAAAGCAAAGCCCTCACATGTGATGCTAATTATCTCTTAGCAGTTTCTCTTTAAAGTGTAAATGTGCTCCCTCTGGGCTCCAGAAATATTTAATTACACATCTCGGTGCCTGGCGAAGGCGCCAGGCCAGAGTGAGAACGCCTCATCTATTGTTCAAAGAAAAGAAACCCTGCAGCATGAAGATGGCTGGTGTCTTCAGAAGTGGTCTCACGTTTCCGGTTGCAGAAATCGGGGTGGCTATTTTATAGAGAAAATCCACCACCGGCAATGCGTGTCTAAGTGTGAAGCTTTCACTCAAACCCGCCGTCCAGGTAACACATGAAAGGCGGCCTTGGCTGAAATGCTGGGCAGTGCCAGGTAAGGCAGGCAAGAAAAGCTTTCTACTCTGACGTGGCTTTCAAAACCGTGTCTGGGGGTTCATTAGCTTTTGAATTTAACAAAAACCTTCTTAGGCTGTATCTCCTCAGACTGTGGAACAAGGGAAATTTGGGAATTCAATTATTCTTGGTGATGAATCGTAAACACAGAGGGTTGGTGATGTATATGTTCCAGTCCATATATGGATATGGACATAGCAACATGCCCATATGCATATATGTGCAAACACACTGGATGAACACAAAGACGGGGTATTAAGATGAATTGCTGTCTTTGTAGCTACATCCATTTTGCCAGGAATGACCGCTTTTTGAAAACTCTATTTCAGGAAATTATGTAAGATTCCTACATAGTATGTCTTTAGAAATAAATCTGTGTTGAGAAAATGTACATAATGGCCAGGAAATTAGGGTGGGCAAGGAAGGAACTGTGTGCAGTAGTTGTTTTAGGATGTACTCAGGACTCTGGATCCACGCTCTGCGTCCCCAGGGAAGGTGACGGCAGGCAGGGGCCACTGAGTGTGTGCTGTGGCTGCGACGCCAGATTCGTGTGTGTCCTTGGAGAGGCTCTTGATTGATTGCTATTGATTCAAATTACAAAAAACTGTATTTTGCTTTTCAATGTAGACTAAAAGGCAAAAGAAATTGTATCATAACAAGCGTCAGAACCTGTAATATAGAAATTCAAGAATTCCACAGAGAATTCCAAAATCCCTTCTTTACGACAGTCCTTGTCTTGTTAACCTCCCTCCAGTGACATAACTGTAGACCCAAGGATGAGTGACTGTTAACAATCAAGTCACTTTATGATAGAGGGGCACAGCACTGGATTAAAATGCATTTTGTTCTTATTCTCCTTGTTTGGATATTTATCTCTTTTCCTCAACAGGCAGACTTCTGATCAGTTAAATGTAAGATATATTCTAAACAATTTAGAGTTTGGTCATTGATGCTGTTGACAATTTCATTTTCCTTGTGGTGGCTTATTCACTAAGCACCACCACCTAGCCAGTGTGGACCGACTGTTTATCACAATCAAAGCTGTGGTCTTAAATGCTGCTTTTTTTTTTCATTGTCAATTTCTTCCTGTAAGACAGAGTCTAGCATTCATTTCAACAGTTCAATAAATACACTCTAAAACCAGACAACTTACTGGGTGACCAGTGGACTGGCGCAATGAACAAAAAAGGTCAGTTTCAAAATAGCCCTAAAAATATAGACAGCCACAGACTCAGTGTCTCCGGGCTTTCCTGCAAGGCCACCCAGGGTGGTATCTGGGCCTGCACTTGTTACCTCTTTCCACCGCGGCCAGATGAGAATCCAACCAAAAATCCGAGCTTTATTCGTCGGTATCCTGTGGCTCATACACGTTAGGCTCTTTGTCAGTGGAAGAATCTTATCAAAAATAATGGCCCTATTTCCACAATTCTAAGATGCCTATTCTCCCTCACATTTTAATACGTCTGAAACTAGAAAATCGCTCACAATTAACACGTGCCGTTAATGGAGCCTTCCCACCTCTCGCTTCCCTTCCCTTTTCCCCTGCGGTGCTGACACAGACACTGCCCTTGGCGCGAGGGGCATCTTAGAAGCACAGAGACCTGGCATCACTCCCCCTCCGCCGCGCACTCAGCGCACCTGCCCGGCCGGCGGGCTGTGCGTTATACCTGCGGAAGTCCAGGAGGGATCTTGAGGAGGAGGGGACTCCTCGGTCATACCAACTCAGGAAGTGGAACTGGGTCACGGTGCGCGTCTCGTTGGTCTGCAGGTTCTTCAGATAGAAGCTCCTCACCAGAAAGTCCTCGCACCAGATGTGCTCGGAGACCAGGTTCACCTGGTAGGTAGGGAGGGCAGGAGGGAGGGGGACAGAGACAGGTGTGGACATCGTGAACCAAACTGCAGGCACTAAGGAGCCCAGGGCCATGTCTGATGAGAGAAGGGGGTGCTGCAAAGAGGCCCCATTTCACAGCGCAGGGGGGTTCCCTCGGCTTCACGGCCCCCTCCCACCTTCCCAATGTTAACACTTACGCTAAAGATAGCTCCGTGTGAGTGTGTATGCTTAATGTTATTTAGGGGCTTGAGCATCACATAATTTTTTTAAAAGTTACAATCCAAAACTATCCTACTTTTTGTCTTTTGCATGTCCATGTTATATAAACCCTCAAAAATAGGAACCAGAGAAAAATTACACTTTTAAACAAAACCAGCGACACAACTATGTGTTCTGCTAAATGGTTCCACTCTAAGCGAGACTCCATCGTGATGTGCACGCCTGGATCTAGAGTAGGAAAAGCAAAAGGCTCACGAGGCGCGCTGATGTGAACCCGAGCACAGGCACTTCCCAGCCTAAGCGTTTCTGCAGGAACCCCAAAGCCACAGCTGTGTGGTTTAGGGTTCACACTTAAGCCTCTAACTCACTTCCCCCTGTGGAGCTTCGGCATTCTCACTCCGTTTAATGCCAAACAGAATCAAAGCATGCATTCTAGTGCTGGCTTAATTGCCTATGTTTATTTAGTTCATTCTTGACATGGGCAGAAAATCCAGCGAGATAAATAAACTGGTCAGCAGGTTATCCTCAAATAAAAAGGTCACATGATCCAGCCACAAAACTCCAAGCAGAGCCACGGGGAAGCCACACGGCTCAGGCACTGGCATCAAGGATGGGAGCCAGGTTCTTTTTAAAGACGGACCCCACTTAAAGGCCTGTTATATGGGACCAGGACCATGCTGTGAGGCAAATGTTTTTTCTACTCTGTCAGCATTTGGATTTAGAAAATCTAAAAAATAAAAACCACATCACATTCCCAGGGTCTGGTTCATGACCACACAGCCGTGTGAAGCATCCACATGGGCAGTATGGCCCTTGGGGGTGGCTCAGCCTCCATCCCCTGAACATGGGGGGCGCTGAGCCTCCCTGCACGGGGCCAGGCTGCTGGGGCCGTAACGAATCCCATTCAGAGGAGGAGCGGGGCCCAAGTGCTCCTCGTCCAGCTGGCGGGTCCTGGCCTGGGTGGTTCTGGTCCGAGTACCTCATAGATGTGGTAGAGGTTGGAGCCTTCATCTGGCCAGTAGTGGTAGCACTGCCGGACGCCGTTCTCTGTGAGGGGCGTCAGCATGACGATCACCACGCAGCCGCTCTCCCACACCATCTGTGGACAAAGAAGGCCCGTGGCCACCGCGTGACTGTCTCATCACCGCGTGACACGTGTAATTACTGCACTCGGAAGCACAGTCCAAATTTATTCCATTCATAGGACATTTATTTCATTTTCTCAGACATGTTTACTCTGCAGCTGCCTGAGTGTCTCTGAATGCACTGGCCCATACTTTGCATGTTCCATGAAATATTAGAAATCCCCGCAAATTTATCCCATGCCATTTAGAGCTTCCTCAGTTCTAGGTTCAGCTGGGTGGCTTTCCAACTTTTGATCTGTAAAGGAAACTTTCTATAATGCCACACATAACAGCCAGCGCTTCTCCAGGTGGTGCAAGTGGAACTCGGCCGACACCCTCGCTTGCTGGTGGCTGGCATCATTTTGCTCACCTAGAGAAACGTTTTGCTTTGTGAAGCTGCTGTCCTATCAGAAGCAGTCTCCGAAAGGCTTCTTTTCAAAGTACATCACGGAAAGCAGCACTGTACTGCTGCAATTTCATTTGTTTATACCGAAATATGGCAACACTATTCAGATTAAAGCAAATACCAAATTGATTTACTAATTCTTATTAGCCACATTGAAACACAATAAACAAAAGCAAATTTAAACACACAGAAATGACAAAGACACAAAGCCCTCTGACCTCGCTTCTTTGCAAACACAACTGGCTACTTGTGGCTGTAAGCCTCCATCTTAACATTTACAGCCTAATTACCCAAAACCATTAATCCTGTGGGGCACACTGATGTGGCATGTGTAGATTTTTATTAGCATATTAAATTATAGAGTGAAGAGGGTCTGCTTTTTCTGCAATGGGTTATATTAACTTGGCAGAAATGTTTGTAAGCAACTGCATTTAGATGTAAATTTGGTATCCAAGACAGTTTCTATTTCTTTTAAAAACAGATACAAAAATCCAATTAAGATCTTGTTATTTAAAAAACCCTCATATCTCAAATATAAAATGTTGTCATCGTAGTGCATGTTACTGAATTCCACATTTATATTTTAAAAATCAGACATATACATGATATTTTCCTCTTTTAATATTGATTTATGTTCTCATGGGGCTGAAATGGGGTACCTCACTGTGTATCATTTACACTGGAAGCTAACGGAACCAACTGAAGTATTTACGAAAAGCCCACAAATAAATATGAATTATGCTCAAATTCGCGCACTTCCTTTCTCCTTAGTGCCCATCCAACAACAAGATGAGAATTCAAAGCGTGTTTCTTACTAAGCTTTTCAGGCTTTCAAACCTGCTCCTCCAAATCGGTACTTCCATCACATAACAATTTAATGTGCCTTCAGAAGGTGGAGAAGCTCATGGAAGCCATTACGAAAATGAGGAAAAACACAGATTTTATGAGTGTAATAAAAATACAATGATCTAGACCATAAACTAATCATCCGGCACTCGGCTCCTTGCCGCCCTAGTGTGACATTACGGAGCCCCATCGACTGGGGGGATCTGCGCGGCCTGGAAGCCGCGCTCATTGGCTCTCGCATCCGCCCTTCATTACGGGGCGCCTTCCCGGCTCTCTGAAGATTTGGTTAAGATTAAATCCAAATGAAACCTAATTTAAACAAACAATCCCAAAGGCACTCTGGGGAATAATATTTCTTTTTAGGTCACTGTGTATAAAAGCAGAGAGGGGAATTTACTAAATCAAACAAATAGGCAGCCCTATTGGGCACCAATATTACAAGCTGTTCACGGATCTGATTACATTATCTTGTGTTCCTTCGAATCGGTACATAGCAACCCAATCTAGGAGGGAAACTACGGCATTTCTCCATCTGTTTCCAGCCTTCAACAGCAGCGCCTGACCAGTTAACCTCACAACATATCGCAAAAATCCGTTTGGATTTTGGTACGAATACAGAATATCAGTAAAAATCCCAGTCAAGTAAGGTTCAATTTCTAATCGGGGAGAAGTTTCACTATTTTCTTTCTCATTGGCTTGGTCTTTGTTGACAGGTGAAATACAGAAAGTGCTCACCCCTGGCACCTGTGACCTCATTTGGATACAGGATTTTCAGACGTAATCAAGTTAAGGTTGGTTTGTGTCACAAATCTTTGAGAAATCTAAAACTTTCTTTCAGGAAGTAAATAATGACCCAGGGTCCTTGTTTGATCTTAATGCAGTTCATTGGAATAGGCAGTTTACAAAACTGTATTGTTGAATTCCAGAAATGACCATTTCTAGCACTTCCTGTTTGGTGAAGGGTAAGAGAATATGGCCCCCATGGCCACGTGCACACCCGAACACCTGCACACCCGAACACCTGCACAAGTGAGCACCTGCACAGCCGAGCACCTGTGCAGCCGAGCCCCTGCACATCCGAGCCCCTGCACAGCCGAACACCTGCACAGCCGAGCACCTGCACACCTGAACACCTGCACAACCGAGCACCTGCACACCTGAGCACCTGCACACCCGAGCACGTGCACACTGGAGCACCTACACAGCCAAGCCACCTGCACAGCCGAGCACCTGCACAGCTGAACACCTGCGCAGCAGAGCACCTGCACAAGTGAGCACCTGCACACCCGAACACCTGCACACCCAAACACCTGCCCACCCAAGCACCTGCACACCCGAACACCTGCACACCAGAGCCCCTGCACACCCGAGCCCCTGCACAGCCGAACACCTGCACACCCGAGCACCTGCACAGTCAAGCACCTGCACACCCGAGCACCTGCACACCGGAGCACCTACACAGCCAAGCACCTGCACACCTGAACACCTGCACAACTGAGCACCTGCACATCTGAACACTTGCACACCCGAGCACCTGCACACCCAAGCACCTGCACAGCCGAGCACCTGCACACCCCTGCACACCCGAGCACCTGCACACCCAAGCACCTGCACACCTGAGCACCTGCACACCTGAACACCTGCACACCCAAGAACCTGCCCACCTGAGCACCTGCACAGCCAAGCACCTGCACAGCCAAGCACCTGCACACCTGAGCGCCTGCACAGCTGAGCACCTGCACAGCCAAGCACCTGCCCACCCGAGCACCTGCACAGCCAAGCACCTGCAGAGCCAAGCACCTGCACACCCGAGCGCCTGCACACCCGAGCGCCTGCACAGCTGAGCACCTACACACCCAAGAACCTGCATAAGTGAGCACCTGCACACCCGAACACCTGCACACCTGAGCACCTACACATCCGAGCACCTACGCATCCGAGCACCTGCACACTCGAACACCTGCACACCCGAACACCTGCACACCCGAGCACCTACACATCTGAGCACCTACACACCTGAACACCTGCACACCTGAGCACCTGCACAGCCGAGCCCCTGCACACCCAAACGCCTGTCCACCCAAGCCCCTGCACACCCGAACACCTGTCCACCCAAGCGCCTGCACTGCCAAGCCCCTGCACACCCGAACACCTGCACTGCCAAGTCCCTGCACACCCGAACGCCTGCACACCCAAACACCTGCATACCCGAGCACCTGTTGTGTGTCAGGCACTTGGCTGGAGGTGCTGGAGGGGCAAACCCCGACCTTGGCTGGTGGCAGAGTGTCCCTGGGCACTGTGGGATTCCATAGCCACCCACGACACCCTCAGACTACAGGGTTAGAGTCTGGGGTTACCCCTCCTGGAGCAGAAGCAGGTGCCACCATCCACCACCAGCCCTGGATCGAACCAAAGCCACCAACATGGACTGAGAATAAGCCGCAAGTGCCGGATCCCAAGTGCGGACAGCTGGCACCACACTTCAGAGAAGAACTGACACTCTCCCATTATACACGCTTCTTCAATGCAGCGTCCCCATGCCTCGGCATCCCCCTTGAAGGCTCCAGCCGTGCCAGCTCTGTGGGCCTGGGGTGGGGAGGGGAGTGACATTGCGCTTTGCTGTTTATGATTCCAGCAGGAATGGAAGTGGTCAGCCCAATGGTTCTCAGAGACCACCAAACACTGGGGTTAAAGCCTGCAGCCAGGCTCTGTGAGCCCAACCCATCCCGACGCGCCCAGCAGGGGCACAGCAGCTTGCGGTGGGGGTCTCCTGATGGCTGTTCAGCAGCAGCAAGTGGACAAATTCAGTAATTTGGACAGTGATCCGATGAACAAGAAATGCAGACTTCGGCTGTTATTTGACCTGAGTAAGTTTACTGACTGTAGATTTAAAAACCATATTGTTGTTTGTTACAGGTTCAACGCTGTCCTCCCCACAGCCTATACTGACGTCCTAACCCCGGTACCTATGAATGTGGCCTTATTTGGAAACAGGATCTTTGCAGATGCAACTGAGCCGAGAGTGGGTCCCAATCCAACGTGACTGTGTCCTTGGAAGAAAAGGGAAACACCTCAAGAAGGCACAGACACAGAGAGTGGCCATGCGCAGACAGGCAGAGACGGAGTGTTGTGGCCACCCAAGCCACACCCCGGATGGCAGGCAGCCACGGGAAGTTGCAGGGGCCGTGTGGGATCTTCCCCCACAGGCTTTGGAGAGTGTGGCCCTGTTCACACCTGGATCTCAGACTTCCAGGCTCCAGAACTGCGAGGGGACGTGCTCCTGTGGTTTCAAAACAACCAGTTTGCCGTACCTCGTGATGTCAGCCCTAGTGACAGATGCACCCGCTGCAACTTCACTCTCTCCTTCACCCATCAAATCACCCACAGGTGTGGAACAATGGCCACCCTGCCTACGCTTCCTATCAACACCGATGGAGAGGAACACAGGGCCTCTTCACTCTAGGTCCTTTTTGAGTGCTAAGAAAAAATCAGCAAACAAACAAAAAACAAATGACCCAACTAAAAATGGGCAAGGGATCTGAACAAACATTTCTCCAAAGAAGACAGACAAATGGCCCACAGGTACATGAAAAGGGGCTGAATGTCATCAGGGAAATGCAAATCACAACCACAGGCACTGGCACCTCGTGCCTGTCGGGATGGCTGCCACCGAAAAGAGGAGGATGGCAAGTGTTGGAGAGGATGTGGAGGAGAGGGAAACTT